AATTGAATGCAGTACTCCAGGTAGTGTCTCACGAGAGCAGAGTAAAGGGGCAGAATCATCTCCCTCAACCTCCTGGTCGCCCTTTCTTTATATTGTATATATTGCTATAAATGTATGTTACAGTAACAATAGATGAAAACCATCTGAGCTTTGCTTGCTCCTTACTGAAAAAAAAGAAAAAAAAAAGTCTTGTGCATTAAACTCTGTTGTTGTCAGACTTATATGTTTAATGATGGTGATAGTGGTGGTGGTGTTTTACCTAACACTCCTTCCAGCAGTTCTTGTGCTTCTTCATGGTCTTCTGTGCTTTTCAGCAATGACTAAAATTCCCAGTTTACAAAGAGATTTGCTTTTGTATGTGCTTATTTACTTTTTTGATTTCTTTTCTCTTTTTTAATTTTTTATTTTTAGGATGGTGAAGCAATATAGTTTTAGATTCCCAACTCTAATTTCACCTCTAGAGACTCATGCTTACCAAAGAACATTTTATAGATTTTCTTCCATAAACCTAATGCTTCTTCCATTATTGACTGTCTGGAAGAGAGATATCAGTGATAACATGTTACAAATATGGAACATGCTGCTGCTTTATGTTAGCAAGTATAATCTGTTTAGTTTCAGTTTCAGGTGGTTGTGTGGTTTGTCTTTTTTTGTTGTTGTTGTTGCTTTTGATTTTTTTGCATATAACCTATATAATTGCCACCTCTTAGCTGAATGCTCAGAACATCTTTCTGGCTTTTCGGAAGTTTGGATTTCCACATATGTACAAGAGTTCATGGAACAATTATAGTGCTCTGTGTTGGCAGTCACTCAGAAGTACTGTTAATTTGTCTGTGAATTAAATAGGGATGGTCTAGACAAGGCTTTTAATCCATAGCTGTTTTGCTCCTGGTAAGCATAAGATGTGTGATGGCTCTGTGGTTTTTGGCCACACAAGGGTTTTCATATGTATAAAAACGTTGTGTAATTGGTCAGTCTGGCAGATTGAATCAGATATAGATTATATAGATAAACTGCAATTAATTTATCACCAGGGAACATCAACACATAATTTTGGTAGCATTAAAGTGCAGGATGCTCTGAATGATGAAGTGAGTAATGATTTATTCATCATTTAATTTAATCTCTTGTAATATTATTATGAATTATCTTGCTTGAACAAGAGCATATCTTAAAAATAATAATTAAATTTTGATTAGCATTTTGAATGGCAGCAAATTCATGGAACCTTATTATGTTGCTTAGATGATAACTGTTGCTTTTGTCAACAACGGTCCCCTCATTTTTAGTCTTGCTTGGAGCACATCTAAGTATGAGGTTCTGTATGTTATGTCATTATCTTTTGTAATGCCTTTTTCTTTATATTTACACAATGCAATCCTTTAACCTCTTTAACCTATTTGGCTTAAAGTGTAACAGAATTCCTGGTATTTCTCACTAGAGGGCATGTTTTTCAATGCCTTATCATTTTGACCCTTTTTTTTTTTAAATCTTTTTGTCTAACTTCTCATCTTCCAAGAATGGTTAACAGAATCAGGTAGCACAGAAGTAAATTGACTAACTTCATTACCCTCTTGGAGTTCCCATGGAGTTTTATAAAATTCCTTGTCTCTGTAGATGCAGATTCATATTGGAAAAATTCTCCATTATTTCCAAATTCTCTTCAGAGTTGTTACTGTTAAATTTTATATGCAAGTCTAATGTTCTTGGTTTAAAATTTCTCTCTTTACATTGGTGGATTTTTTTATCCTTTTTTGTTTTATTTTAATGAAGCTAGTGAGTGATCTATGTTGCTGACATTACTAACCTGTTTGTTATATTATTTCCCACATGCCATCATGCCAACTTAACTACAATTTTTGCCTTTTCCTATGTCATCATGGAAAAAAAAAAGGCTAGGGTAAAGAAGTAAGCTGTATGGGGTTCTAGAAATACTTCACTGCTCTTCTTCATAAGTAATTTAAAATATTTGAATTCAGTTAATACTTTTAGGGTTTTTATGAAAAGATATGAAAGTTAAAGCCTGTTTCATAAAACCGTTATTTTTATTAAAGTAAAAATGAGAAGCGACTTAAAATGAAAGCTATCAAGTAGATTTGGTAAGATTTCTGTGAATTAAAGTTCATGTGCGTTATTATATTACAGATTTATACCTTCAGCAATCAAGGCTTTTGTGTCAACTGTTTTCTCATAGAGCCCAAAGATGTCAGACTGATGGATCGTTTAATCCTTTTAAATACACATCATCAGTTTCTTTTTTCATCCTAATTTTTTGAAACTTCACTAAAATAACAGTCAATATTCTGGATATCAAGAATGTTGTTGGTTGATTCTTTTAGGACTTTTTAATGCAATGTATTCATATTTAGCTACTTTAGACAATTTTATCTTCTCTATGAAATATTTTTCTATTCTCAGAGCAGGCTAACAAAATATCCCTCCTCTACTAAACAAGAATGGTGATTTCTTTTTTACTCTTTTCTCTTTAGTTTTTGTCCAAATCACTTAACCACTGCAATCTGAAATTTTGTTTGCAGGCCCAGGGAAAAATAGAACTAATGAAAACATATGACTTAGAAAGGATTTGAGACAAGGCACAGTAAAAGCAAGATAGTCTTAAGAACTAATTAAAGGGAGGAAGGAGAATTATACTGAAAAAAGAACCTCTATGTATAAAGATCTTTCCTATTCTTTACCATTCAGTAGCTCTGTAACATACAGCTTCTTTTCAGCTCAAAAGATATATATTTTGTGTTCAGTTTCTTTCTCTGATTCTATTAAGTTTAACTACAAAATAAAAGGGCTACTGTTTTGTGTACTAAAGACATGGCTAAACAAATGTTTGAAGTTCTAAGAGATTTATTAAGTTCTGCTTGTTTTCTGATATAGCACACAGCTGCCATCTTTCCCCAGAGATGCAGCTGCATTCGAATGTATGTTGATATTGCACTTTTTTTCACACTCTTTGAAGAAAAAGACTAGTTAAAGCTGTTTGTTCTTGCATATGGATTGAAACTAGACTTAAGGTGTGACTCTAACTTTACTGACAAACATTTTGGCATCCAGTATGTTGTACAATGAGCAGAGTTCTATGATAAAGTAAGTTAGTGCAGCAGCAACAAAACTCGGTCTTTCTGAAACAGTAAAAAAAATCAGTTGCAGAAGGATGGATGCACAACCAAGTGAAACGATGGCAGTATTGCTGACTGGTATCCATTGACTGTTAACTTCAAATACTACACTGGTGTGCATGTCTCTGCATTGCTGTGGTTCTCTTCAGTCTTACATAAAAGCCTCATATTACATGCTGCGATACTGAAGTAATACTTAGGAGGGAAAATAGTGTTGTTTGTTCTCCATGTATAAACAACCATTTCTTTCTGCTAGTCTCATTCCTGAGTGCTGTTACCAGTGCTTTGTAGTTAATAAAGTTACTATTTTAAGTTTCAGTTTTACTGATTCAGGCTGTTTGGTGACTCAGGCAAAAATGCCATTCCACCACTGCAACATCTGAAGCTCATATTTTAGTATTATATGGAAAAATACAAGAAAAAAAGAAACCTCCCCCCCTCTATTTAAAGAGAGTTACTGCCTTCATAAAAATAGCAGGTAATGCAGTTGTCTAAATCCATTCCCAGTGATTCATAGGTGAGTTTTATTTAGGAAACATCAGAGCTGTTCACATTTTTTTTCTTTTAATGATTATGTACAAACGGACTGATTAGCTCTTAGATGTTTTCATAAAAAATAATTGTACCATCAACTGTTCTGAAAAAAACATATTTTCTAAGATTTTGTGAGCTCTTTCTTTTTATTCCTTCTCTTCTTTTGTTATTTTGAAATCAATATTTCGTAACACAAAATTTGACTTTGGAAATATATCTTCTTTTTTATTTATTACTTGAGAGCATGTCAGGTAAAATTACTTTGCAATTGAGTCAGTATATACCTCCAGTGAGAACAAAACACTAAAGAAGAAACATTCCATTTAATGGGATGATAAGGTAGCTTACTCTGTAACGTATTCTGAAGACTAATATGCATCAATTGCACCTGTAAAACAAAGATCAAAAATACATTTCACACATGACACTAAAGGATAGTAAAGGATAAATAAAATAAGTTTTGATGGAATTTCTACATATTTCAGTATTAGCAAGCTCACATAACTAAAGCAAGTTGTGCAATTTCCACTTCATATATATTTGGAATTAAAGTAATCTTGAAGAGTGGTATTCTCAAAGAAGGAATATCATCTGTTCAATGAAACAGGCACATGAATGATTATTATTCTTGAGTATTTGTATTTTGCATTGCTACAAGCCATCTCATTTTGTATTTCTTGTTTCTAGCACTGTTTAAATACAGATTAAGAGAGGTAATCTTCTTCCTCTAGGTGATATAACCCAATACATAAAGAAAATGCCTCATTGGAAAGTTTGAATTGTGCTGCGATAAGCACCTGTTTACTGATTAATTTGAAATGCTGTGTTAGGCCCTCTTCCTCACTGCACTTGCACTATGACAAATGGTTCACAAGTCAAATAGTATTTTGCTGGTATAAATGTTCTGGTATTAGTTGGTCAGAGCTATCCTTTCATTTTTTAAGAAGCATTTTCCCATTTTCCCACCATCATGACCTAGGCAGTATGAAACTGATGGGGATGGCTGCTCCTTTTTAGCAGTGTGTGCCCGGCTTTCCAGACTGTTAGGAACAGATGTAGAGATGGCAGTGCTCAACTGGCTCTTGCCCAGCTCTTGGGATAGGGAGCAGTCAGGGCACAATCATGGGCTAGAAAATGTTAAACGTTTTGTAGACTGGAGACACAGTGGACCTCACAATACACAAAACTCAACAAGAATGTTTGAAGAAGACAAAATCTGTTTTATTGTTTTTCTTCTTATCTAGCTCCAAGGTACTTTTTAATCTGGTTCTCTGGATGATGTTGTTCCACTTACAAAAGTGGAATATTTTTACTGTCTCCTATTTATTCTTTCAGGATTTGTGGATTTAACACTCCATGATCAGGTCCATCTACTGGAATGTGCCTGGTTAGAGATATTGATGATCGGCTTAGTCTGGCGCTCCATGGAACACCCGGGAAAGCTTTTATTTGCACCTAATCTATTACTGGACAGGTCAGTTTGTGTATTGCTGTTAATTATTTAAGTAAATTAATTTGTTTCCACTGCAATCAGATTAATTTTTAGTTTTTAGTCATCACATTGATGCTACAACTTGATGGTATGTCATAAATTAAGCAGTATGGGACTGGAGAGGAAACACTGGAAGAAAAAGTCTAAAAATGATCTGATAACTTATCAGACAAGAAAAACATCTGAAAGTCACCTGTAGCTGGAATTACTTAATTTCAAAGGCAACTAAAAATTCCTCTTATAATCTGTAGTTTGTTGTCAAAATAAATTCAATATAAATCTGAAACACTAATCACTTTAATCCATATAATTACTTCTCCTTATCTAAAATCCTCATAGTCGGTATTAATTAGAACTGGTTTATTAAAGCAACCAGCCATAATTATGGAAGAAAATCCTGATGGATCTATGTTATTATGTGATGTATTTGAATTTGTTTTTTTTCTCCTGTCCACTGGAGTTAAATTTGTGACTTGCTGTCCTAAGTCAGTCTTTTTTTAGCCAATCTTACTGAGATGCCTAAGGTATTTCTAAGTGAGAGATAAAAATATATATCCCTGCCATACAATATCCTGGAATTTAGCAAGCAGTCTTCACAAAATCAAAGCAGGAATTCTAGTTGTCTCCATTCAAATTCAAGTCATAAAAAATTTCAGCCTTGAGAAAGAGTGTTGAACAACAAGCAAGGGATTTGGCAGAAGACTGTGGCAAGGCTAGGAACAATTCATTAGGATGGAAGAGTGATCCTAGCTATTGTTAGTGTTCTTCTGTTGAAGACTGAGGTAGCGGAGCTGACAGGAGAGAGCTTGTGTGCAGGCATTGGTGAGTCCAGTGCAGACCAAAGGCATGTAGTGAGGCAGCTTAGATCTAGCCATGCTTTTTGGTATCATCACATAACTGCAGGGGCAGTGAGGTGCAACAGAAGGATGGCAGCCAAGCATCAAGGGCAGAGCCTTCAGTATCTGCACCCATTAGTTAGGTGAATGCACCAACATTGTTGCTAGCAGAAAAACTATTTTTTCTTCTTTTTATTTAGAGAATTAAGAGAAAATTGTACCATAGGAAAGTAAATGTACTATGCTATGGAAAACTCCTAAGATTGCAATTTAGCTTCAATAACTAACTAATATGTTCCAAATTTCATGATGTGTGCAATGAGGAAAACTGTAGAACAGAGCCGTAGTGTCATTTTTAGCTAAAAAGAGCTAGGGAAACTTTTGAAACTTTGGTCTTCCTCAGCTAAAAATTCCATGCTCTGGATAAAATGGAATCTGAGCAGTTGATTCGAACATCTTATCTGCTGGGTTAGAGGAAAGAATTTCATCCAACTGGAGCTACATATTACTTTAGAGGAGAACATGAATTCATTTTCAAATAATAAGAAATGTGTTTCTAAGGCATAATATACTTGCTTCACCCTATCTGGTAGGGATATTTGCTGATTCTGGGGTGTACTGATATGATAAATAGTTTAATGTTTATGTCATGTTAGTGCTAACAATAATTTTATATGCCAGATTGATTTAGGCATATTTTTCCTTCTGAGAATGTTATAGGGTAGCTGTACGTTATTTGCTAGGTTTGAAAGGGAAGGACAGAGATGATTCAAAGCCTGAGTCAGTGGAGTTCTTCCTCTACAACAAATGTTTGGGAGAACATTACAGGAAGAGTGCAAAAGTTGTTTGATCCATTTTTGCTGTTATCTAAGTAATGAAACAATCTGATTGAGTGGCTAAAATAATGGAAAAGATGGATTCAGTACAGAAATTTTCTTTCACCTGTGCTTGCTTCCATAACCTTTAGCATATTCTTTACAGAATTTGTAGTCTTTGTCAATATTTTCATCCACTGACTTCTGTTCTCAATCCCCACCACTCTTACCCTGTTATCTGATCTATGTAGTTAAAAACATGTGCAAATGCAAATTTAAATCTTGGCTATAATCCAGAGTCACCAACTACAAGTATTAAAACCTTGGTCTGTCTCTTACCTGTGTTTTTGTGAACTCAGTGCAAGTTCAATATAATCAATATGGAGCTTCACAATACAACATTTGGCCTCTGCCTCTCTGATCTTTAGGTGTCAGACGTCCTCTCTGATTTGTCATCTCTCTCATTTTTCCCATTTCGGATAATCTTGTATCTGACAGGTTCTTTCTGTCTGATAGATTGTCATTTGTATACATTTGTATGTAAAGCTCAGGTCACTTCAAGTTTTATTACAGCAACTTTTTCCATTTTGGCTAGATGAATACAGTCTTGCCTGGCTCATATCTGTCTGAAACTCTATAAAAATACCATTCCTTCCTTGCCTTTTTTTAAGCAAATCTGATTTTTGTTCTTCCAGTTTACTCCTCCTTGGATTATATGAAACATCCGCTCGTCATTTCTCTGAAGATATCTTAGAGAGGAGGTTTTCTTTTCCCATTCTGTGACATTCTACTTGTTACATTTTTCATATAAGTGTATCTATAGTTTTCTTATGTAACTATTGACAAGTGGAAGATTCCTTGAAAATATCTGTAAAGTAGCTCTGTTACTCACTTTAAGTCTATTCTTGAAACTTTGCTTTCCCTAGTTAAAAAAAAACCGTAACAATTAAGCTGTCAGTATGTTTATACTACTGCTTTCTGTATGGTTGAGTATCATCACATTATCCCTTTCTGTTCCCACTCTGCCTTATAATTAGATAGGACATTCTGTGAGGTAACGCACTCTTTCTTATTCAGTTAATGCACTGCCTGAACACTTGAGTTGGTTCAAGATCAGGACTTTCAACAGTCTGCTAGTCACTTATAGTTAGCACATTTTGACAGTGTACAACTGATGCTATTAAATTGGCTCAAATGACAATAATTACAGATTAGAAAATGAACCCCGATTGGGAACTAAAATAGCGTATTCACAGAGCTTACATTTAATGTACAGTATTATGCAACAAACTGTAAGGAACGCGGGATACATGCAAATGTTTTTATATGTGGTTTGTGAAAATTAGTGTCATGTATGAGGCAAATCTAGGAGTGAAGACAAGTTTGCAGTGGGATGAACCAGATGTTTCCTGTCTGGAGGGTTCCCAAGAAGCTAGACCTTAAAAATGTCATCAGATCAGGGCTGAAATTTTTCAGGACTGACAATAGGCTGTTTGTAACTTTGAGGAAAATGTAATGTTTCTTCAGGAATAAGGAGGAGTCATATATTATTATATTTTTAAAGCATTTGCTACATGGAAATTTCACACAGATCAGAGATTGTTTTGAAACATAATTCTAAAGAAAATCATGGTAGAAATAGCTCAATTGCTAACTGAAGTGGATGACTTCTCACCTGAATCATCATTGGTACCAGCAAAATGGGAAATACAATGATGCTTTTTAAAAGTTGATGGAATTTCAGCCCAGTAAGCCTGCCAACCATTACAGGGAACTGATAGCTTGCAGTCTAAAGAAGAGAACTGGCTGAGGACTGAATAAACATGACATAGTGGTAAAAAGTCACTGAAAGTTTTGCAAGGAGAAGCTATGTATTATAGCTATAAGGGAGCTCTTTCCAGAAATTACCAAGGACATAGACAAGGAAGATATTCCAAAAGGTATTAAACAAGATTCAAATTTATTATAGACAAATGTAAACTGATACATACAGAAAGAGAATAATCCTAAACTTCACACACTGCACCCTGAGTTGATCTTTCCATCTTGCTGTTGCAATAGTCAGTTTTACAGAACAGCAATTCTTTGCTCACTAGCAGCTGAAAAGTAAGTATGCTGCAGCTTCCCTCATGGAAATTATTGCAACAGGAAAACAAACAAAAAAACACAGCTAATTACCAGAACCTTGGTGCTTTTCTGATTTTCCTTATCTTAAGATGGAATATTGTAAAAACAGACAAGGTACAGACAAAGTACCAATGAGACTGCATGGGTAATCAGACACAGATAAGTTCTGAAACAAAGGATACCTAAGTAAACTGACTTATCTGTATATGAAGCTCAGTTGAAGAAGGAAAATGAAGTAGAGATTATAAGACTTATGTGAAGCCATGAGCAAGTTGAGAAAAAGTATGGTAATCCATGTTACCTCTTCCAATCTAGCACTGGAGGTAATCACTTGAAATTAGCGAATCTACATGCCTGTATACTTAGCTCAGGAGTAAATACACATTTGATAAGAACCAAGCCTGCTGTTTGCATTTTATGTTCTGATGTAATTTTTTATAATTATGGCAAAAATTTCTTTCAAAAATTATTCTGAAGTGCTGAAAAACAACTCAGCTAAATGTATTCAATATTTTCAGTTTCTAACAGGTTATTTGTGTCTTTCTATGGACAAATTGAGTTGTCAGGTTTTTTTATTTGGAAACTCTTTGCATCCTCTTCCAGAATTTGATGATTTTTTGTTCTCTTTATCATCTGAAAGAAATTGAAGTATTTTCACTTTACTGATCATCATGTTGATCAATAGCTAGGCAACCATGGATCTCTTCAAACTGCAGATAGCATGAATATCATAAAAACTTGGATCATTCTCTATTTGAATCTGCAACAGATTTAATGTTACTTTCATAGGTTTCATGGAATATTTCATGTGCTGAGAAATTTCTCACAAAATCTGAGAACAGTGTCAAGTTTTCTGTGCAAGTAGCACATTCAGAAAGTTGAATAACTGAATACAGTAGAATAGAGTCAGGATGAATTTGTACTGTGTTTTGCCACTCCCTTACCTTCTCAAATATTCCTGTGGCCTCAGGAAATCAAAGTTTTTAGACAGTCTGCCACTTAAGTAAATGGACAATTGTGTCTATCTATCTATTTATTTATTTTGCATTGTGTGGCTACAAATGCATTAGTTTGACTTACTACTGGAAAAATGGAAGCAAAGTGGACACAGATGCTTGATTCAGAACACTTCATTAGTGACCTGCTACTGTTATTGTTTCATAGAAAAAGACTAATATGCAGAAAAGATATCAAAATTTTTCAA